TATCTATCTATCTATCTATCTATCTATCTATCTATCTATCTATCTATTGCTTTTATTTTGCTTCCACAAATGAAATCACTGGCAACTCCTTTGGTAAGCTTCACAACACTGTATAGTTGTTCCCAGACTAGCAACAGGGCATGACCTGAATACACTGATGCTTTACTCGTAAAGAAGGAATGCTTTGTGTTGAGCAAACTGAGATTTCTCTAAATGAGGTATGGGGTTCCTGAAGAAAAGTTGGAGGACATTTCAGATCTCCAGTGATGAAGGTTAGGTTGTGGAGGGGAGGCAGGCAGTGGAAGAAGGAAGAGGGGGGCTATTTCACTGATTGTTCTTTGAAGTCAGTAAACATGTGTCACCTGAGCTGGCAGGCTTTAACATTTGTGGCTGTTGGTGACTGAGCAGGGAGCTAAGCTGTGATCACTGCAGTCTTTCCCTCAGTAGGCACAGAACAGGCTGCTCAGGGCAATGGTCATGGCCCCAAGTGCCAAAGTTCAAGAAGACAGTGCTCTCAGAAAAATGTGTTTTAATTTTGGAGCCAGGAGTTGGACTCAGTGGTCACTCAGTGGGTCCCTTCTAACTCTGGAATATCCTATAATACAGTATCTCCACAGTGGCTTAGGATGCAGCCACCGTTAGTAATCTGTCTCTTAAAGATCCACGTTTGCATGCTGGCAGGTCCAGGTGCTGGGTTCTGGTCTGGGCAGGAAGAAATCCTTGCACTCCCCTTGTGTTTCCTCCCTTCTCAGAATGTCCAAATATGTTTTAGTTCTCAGGATGCCCAAACTGAACAGCTTTTATGCAAATACATGAGTACAGCTAAGATCCTCCAGGGAGTGAGAGGTTTTGTAGGATCCCAGGCTGAAATGCTTGGTTTCTGCAAGATGCTGCTGTGCTTACCTTAACTTAAAAAGAAATACCATCACCACCCAAAACAAAGGTATACTGTTTTTCTCTCCAATTATTTCTGAAAAAAACTAATTATTATTAATATATACATATATTTATCAAATCTACTTTAGGCCATTTCTAAATGGAAATTAGAGACAAACCTCTTTAACCAATTCAGTGGAGGAATGAGATTTGTAGCATTATCATTAATAAGGAAGAGCAGAATGAAGGCCTACAAGATCACAAAATCATATAGAATCATAGAATGGCCTGGGTTGAAAAGGACCATAATGATCATCTAGTTTCAACCCCCTGCCACAGACAGGGTCACCAACCACCAGACCAGGCTGCCCAGAGCCACATCCAGCCTCAATCCATAACACTAGGACTGCTTTTTGCACAGCTTACTGATTTCACCGTTCTAGCTTCTGATATTTTTTTCCTCTTATGCTTGGCTAGGATGAAAAGACAGCATGTGGAAGAGCTGAAGCAGTTGAAAGCTAAATCTACCTCCTTATGTGTGTGCTGAAATGACCCAGTGGGGACTTGGACCAGCTCTCAGCTTTGCTCCAGTCTACCCTCATTAGGACTGGATCGATGCAGTGTCTGGCTGGCTTTTCACAGGTAATTTGAAATGTTTGTAGGTCCATCAGAATAAATAAGTGTACTTCTTAAAAGTCTCCCAGCGTTTGCTTGCCCTTTAGTTCTCTCACAGCTTACTCTAGATTTTGGGAAGAAAAATGAAAAACACATTTGTTTGGCTGTCTTATGGATTTAAAAGCTGTTAAAGACAATGCTTTTGTTTATATAGCACTACAGATTTGGGGGAAAAAAATGTAGATGGTTCTGTGTGAGTGGTCTGTCACCTTTCTGTTAGTTCCTATACAGAAGACCAGACTATATTTCAGGCCTTTAGAACGTGCCCTTAACAGTGCCTCTGGACAGGTTAGATGAAAATGGCATGCTTAAACATGATCTACTGTATTTTTGAAGACAAACAAATAAAATTAATCTGCACATAGCTACACGCTCAGAGGACATACTTCTCTCTAGCAATTCACTATAATAGCCTTTATCAATGAAGGAATTTGAGCTGTAAGGCTAAAGATTAATATGTGTTCCATGATTTCCCTTCTGTAGTACAGGGCATCGCTCTGGGCGTTGGCAATGGTGGCAGTTTGACAGGATTTAGGATAGATTAGTGGTAGACCTGTATACCTACACCTGAAAAAAGACATTAGGTTAGTTAAGCAAATCAAATCCCCCATGTGGAAAGATGGAGAGGGAAAATAAAGCCAGAGATGATCATGCAACGCAGACATTCCTTATGAGTTTCAATATTTTTGCAACAGAAAAGGGAATAAGTGACTAACTTTTTTGATCCTTTGAGAAAGACTTAAGTGCAAGAGCAGGAATGGACAACAGGCTAGGGAATGCACCACGGGTCCTAAGGCCTCATAGCTGCAGCTGCAAAGCCTTTGGAAGGAGAATTTGACCCCAGGCATGGGATCTTCACAACCAGGAAAACTCTAAAGTTTGATATTCTGAAATTAAAGGCTTCTTCATGTTCAGAGACAGCAACACTGGTCTAACACTGGCAACTAAGCTGGAATGATGAACTTCTATTTAAAGTGTTCTTAGAATACGTAAAATACTATTACAGACAATAACCTTGATTAAAATACAAATAACTATTAATTACTAAGTATTATTAAGCATATGCAAACATGCATAGGTCTGTGAGGTTCTTTTGATCAGGTGGATTCTAAATTGCTTTATGAAATGAATTTCCTACAGATGAGTAAGCTGCATTCAATCTTGCACTGCCTGGAAACCTTTTGTATTAGTGGTTTCTTTTTTCAAGCAATAGCCTGGAATGGCATTTAGTATCTCAAGAAGTCCAGGATGATTTGTTATTTGTTCTTACACAGCTGTGCAGAAATTAAAACACTCTTTACACAAAAAAGATCTCATTCCAGGCTTCAAGCAGAAACCAGGAGTAGGTGCCAGCTTCTGGAAGTGAACGTGATATTTGATGCAACCATGATAGAAAAAAATACACGTTAACTGTATGATGATTTCTTTCCCCTTATTGAGATGGCATCTTTTCCTTAATTCCCTAGAGATTTCTGCTCCACAGCAGTACTGGAATTAATCTGAGTTTATCAGCATGTTAATGAAACTTATTTTAGGCACCCGCACGTATTTGAATGCAGAGTTATTAAAGAAGTAGCGGCTGCAATAGGGGCTGAAATGAAGAAATATATAGACTAAGATAAATCTCAGGACTGCAGTGTAACTGCTTGTAAAATGAATTGCTTATCTTTTTATTGACTGGAGAATTTAAAATCAATCTGGAACAAGGGTGTGCATTGGGAGACATTTCTTCTTCAGAAGTTTGTTTCAGACCACTTTGGGCTTTTTTGTCGTCTTTATCTCTTATGATTTCTGTGTTTTATCTGTAGAGGAGAGTGGTGGAGATAGATGAAGCTGAAGGCAGAAAGGTGAGCCAGAGGCTGCAATGGGGTAAGGGGAAATTAGGTGAAACTGGGAGACAGGACATCCAGAAGCTGATAGTAAAATGTTGCTTTAAGCAATTTACAATTAATTTATGGAGCTTTCATTGGAAGAAAGACCTAAGAGCTTTTCTTAGATCTTTTTTAGCATTTCAGATTAATGATTTCAAGAATCAGAAACTGGATTCTGTACTCGATATGGGAATTTCTGTGCTGCACATTCCTGGATATTCATTCAACTCTGATGACTAAGGTTAAGGGATAGCCTACACTACAAAGTCTTAATCAGCCCAATGACTGCCACAGCTCCTAGAAGAAGCACAGCCCTCTCAAATAAGGTTGCTACCCAAAGGACTTTTTTTTTGCCTGTGCAGGATACATATATGTGGGATGATTTGGTAGCACAGCAGTCTTCCTGTTTGATTCCTTCCTAACAAACGGCTTTGCAAAGCCAGCAACATATTTTCTAACTGGACTTGTCCTAAGAAAGAATGTAACTCAGTGTGACAGCAGTGACCCACACCATTTTATAACAGTGCAGAATTTCAGGAAGGATAGTTCTGCTAGTGCTCCAGGTCCATCCAGAGCAGTGCCCATGTAATACATGAACAACATCTGCTAGTGCTCTTGTATCATCTTGCATCTTGCAGAAGACAACAAAAAAAAGAAGGCAACATCTTGCAGAAGACAACAAAAAAACAACTAACAGAAAGAACTGCTGATGACTCCATCTAAAGATACAGTCATTATTTTACAGCTACAAGAAAAGAGAAATCTGTGTCTTTGTTTTGGAAACACAAGTAGTATTTGTAAAAGGTATCAGCAAAGGCCGTGTTTTGTTTGAAAGCAATTTATCTGAATTTCAATATTTTTCAACCAGGTTGTATTTTATTCCTATTGTTTTCTCACACTTTGCAAGCTGCTAAAATTTGCATGTGTATGTGCAATCATCTGGGACACTCTTCAGTTGCTGTTATGAAATTCAGCACTTTGTGTGACTATGAGGACAGCATCCTTGCAGCCAAGGGTTATTTCTACAAATATTTGGAATAGAGGTTGGCATCCTATGTGACACTGATAGCTTGCAGGCCTGCTGGTTATCTGACTGAATAAGTTGGTGGCAGAGCTGAGCCATCACATAGGCTGCTTTCTACATTTTCTCCTGAGGATGTAGAGAACAGCTGCATGAAGAGTGATTACAGCCAAAAGTGCTGAGCACTTTCTCCTGTGCTGATTTAGTCACCATAGAGAAAGCTGAGTTGCTAAAGGTATTATTGAGGGTGAAAAGGTAAGAAAGAGGACGCCGCAAAGGAAGACTTAAGAATATTGCCTTGATAGCTGCTTGGCTTACACTGCCTAATGGGACCACTGTGTATTCAGTGGCTTCCTCAATAAGCAGAAGAGCTAATGATTCACTGTATGAAAAATGAATGGAAGAATGCAAGGTTTGTTAAGCAGTTAAAGCTAAATGTAGCCTCAAGTTTTATCTTCAGCAGGTATGGCAATGGGGCTCCCCAGGTGGCTAGAATTTGAATAATAGATATTTTTTTCTGAAATATTTTGTCTAGCTTCTCCTCTGATATCAGCATTTAAAAATTAGGATGCTTGTGTCTAATGGTTTTCTCATATTGTTGCTGTTTGGAGACATTCACTGCTTAGTTTAGCAGTGCCTTCAGGAAAGGGGGAGGCTGCCAGTAGAACCTGTAGCAAGCAGAACACTGGGTCTGCCTGAGTTTCCAGGAGCTTGCTAAAAGGTGCTGCTCACACAGCAAGCTTGCTTCCTTGTCTTTCAGTTCTGCATTCTCCCTGCATCTTTTGAGGGAGAGTTAAATCTTCAAAAGGGTCAGTGGTGCAGTTTGCTTGCAAATCTACCTTACTTCAAATTATCTTCACTAGGCCTGAGCTTGTAGAAAAAAAACATGAACAGGAATCTCACTATGAGACCTCTAACAAGGATTCACAAATCTAGTCCTCGTTGTATGGGTTGAAGACTGCAGTATTTGTGCCTGCTGGTGCTTGGAAATAAGGATGAGAGGATGTGGCCCTGCAGTGCAAATTCCTGCACAGCGTGCCTGTGCTCTGCAGCTAAACTGCAAAGACTGGGGCAGGAGATCTGCTGTGCAGGGAGCACTTTTTGTTCCTTCTTTTCTCCTGCCGTTTCTGGGGGGGATTATTGCTGGTTCCAAAGCAATTGGATGGTGCCTTCAGTGACACCACATCAGCTGGTAACTTTGTGGCCTGAAGATGGAAAAACTGCGTCCCTCTGTGAAGCGTGAATTTGGGTGTCCTGCATGCAGAGAAGGACGCAGCTCTCCTTACAAGCCCCTGCTTAGACATTTCACAGCTTTCAGGGAATTACTCCCAGAGAGCATTAATAGAAAAAGCAGCCCACAAACAACAGGGCTCTGCCACAAGGCTCAATGGAGAGGCAGAACCCTTCAGTGAGCTTGCTTGTTGCCCCCCAAAAACGTGTGCTGGGTGAGGGGCTCTCGATGGATGCTGAGGGTTAATCCCTGAGACAAGCGCTGCCATCCAGACTGCATTTCTCACTCCTCTCCTTTTTTGTATGGGTGGAAATCAGTGCCTGATGTGGTTTGCAGTTGTCAGTGATGTACTTTCATCACTGTGCTTGGGACAAATGGCATTGTCTACCAGGAATGGATGGGGGCTTGGTGGTAGAGGAGGGAGCATGATTCCCACCTCCCTGTTGCCTCTCACCCAGTGCCCTACAGTGCTCCATCTGAAAGAGAAGGCTTTTTAAGAGCCTCCAATGAGGGAAAATACGGAGCTAGAGCAGTGCAGGGTGAAGCGCTCCCTCTGACTAGGGAATTGGAAAGGTAGGAACCTGTCTTTCCCTGCAGGTAGCATGTTGTCCTGGAGCAGAAAACAGCAAACATCTGCTTCAGGAGGTGTCTGTGCTTCAGATGGTACTTCACCTGATCAGCTCAGGCTGGGGGAGACCTACTCAAGAAGGCAAGTTATGCTGGTCTTTCATGCAACATGCCTGGCTTAGGAGTCTGAGCTGCTCTCAGGTGAGGAGCCAACATGCTCCAGGTTCATCACTTCTGGAGAAATGGCACTGATGTTTGGGTCCCCTCTGCTCTGGGGTTTTTGATTTTTATTTTTGTTTAACAAGACGTTTCTTTTCAGCAGGCGTTTTGCAGTTCGGCTCAGTGCTACGCCCTGTCAGCCCATATCTGGCAATGAAGACCCAGGTGGAGAAATACCTGTCTTACATCCTCTGTCAGGACTCAGATCAGATCAAAGCACCATCAGTGTCAAAGGTGAGTATGCTCTATGAGGCCAAACAGTTTCTCATGAAAGGTCATTACTTACTTACAATGTTCTTTAGGACATAAGTGGTGTTAGACTATCCAACTTGCTGCAAGTCATAAAAAATACACTGTTAATTTGTCACATAGAATAAGGTAGGGCCTGTCTATTGACTGTATTAGCCACGCTACTGTGAGACGGCAATATCATCACGAGACAAATTTTACTTACAAAATTAATTATCTGTTTCATTACTTTAAGGACAAGGAAAAGGAATCTGGAAGCTTTTTCCGGTGTTGGTTTGGTTTTTTTCCCCACTATAATTTCTTGGGTTAGCATAGAAGCATTTTAAGAACCAATTAATAATCATTTGCTTTCCCAGCATCTATTTATAATTCAAGCACTTGAAAGCATGCAACCTATTATGTGGTTCTCATTGTTTTATGCTTGAAAAATGTGAAGTGGTCATTCCCTCCAGGATGGAAAACATCCTTTCTATAATTGCTCTCTATGGGATTTCCCTTCTACAGCTTCCAAACTTTTTTTTTTTTTTTTTGCTCTGTTCATTATAATTGTATTAAGTAACCACTAAAACAAAACACAGTAATCACAGTGCTCCAAATAGAACTCATCTGGTCTTAAAAGAAGAGCAGAAAGAAAGAGTGGCTGTTGTGGTCCTCTTCGCATTGTCAGTCACGTGCCATCCTGAAAACCACATCTTTATATTCCATCCACTTGCTTGTTATCAGAGTTTCAAAATGAAACTGTCACCAGAGCAGATCAGTGCAATCCTTTTAAAAGTAATCTCCTTGATTCTACCTACTACACAGGGGAACATCAGCTTAACTTGTAATTAAAGTAGATTTCTCTAGGGAGACCTTAGACGTGGCCTGTCAGTTCCCAAGAAAACAGCAGCAACTACTGACCTCGTTTTTCCTGTGCTCTACCATCAGATACCATCAGATTTAAAAGGATGGTATGAACTGAGATGGGGCATGATTCCTGACAGTGACAGGCCTGTATGACTGTGAGAGAAAAAATAAAAAGGGAGAAAAAGTTCGACCTCCCCCTACTTGAGTAAGTTGCTCTTTTAGGCAAAGCATGAGCCTCCTGGAACCAGTCCTGGCCTGAACAAGAGAAAGTTTCCCTGGGAGCAGGGAGGTTCTTATGCTACAGGCAGAGCCTCAATGAGGTTTGAGGGGATAATTACGTTAGTTGCTTCCTTATTACTCACTTCAGCTCTTGCTGGTCTTTCAAAGGGCTGAGAAGATGGGTGGGTATCAGAACTGGCTTTACATCAGCCTGTATGGTTTACCATATCTGTTCCTGAACAACTACACTTGATGAATGATGCCAACCCGAGCTACTTACTGAAGGAGCAGTGTGTCACCTTGTGTTGCATAAGAGCAAGATGGACAGCTGCACTGTGAGAAGCACAGAAAAATAACTCCACCAGCACAAGAGAGGGCAATTGCTATCCTAAGGCTTTGGATTGACCAGGATATCTTTTTTCAGAACAGAATATTCCGCAAAGCCTTGTCTGTGTAAGCAGCTTCTGCTCCTTAGCTACTACATATGTGGCACATACATTGATGCCAAGTTTTTTGCAGCAAAAATCCAGCATCCCAAATTTTGACCCATGCACTGAATTAACAAGATGGAGGCAGAGAGCAAGTGGAATGGTAGGGAGATTTACAGTAAGAAGTTCACAAGGCAGCTCACTTTCCCAACTATGCCACGTCATGATAGTTCAGTTTCCCTCACTATTTTCAGCTTTTGTCACTGCACAGCAGCTGATATTGAGAGTTGGCATGACTTGTGAAGGGCTCCTCTTACACTTGGCATACATGTTTGGGCATTTATATGGAGAAAGCAGAAGTTACAGACAACGTGTCCTTGCTAAGTACTGCATCTTTTCTCAGTTTTCCATTGTGACAGGCTTTAAAATGAAAGATGAATAGAAGATCTTAAACCTGCGCGCAGGATCTCATGGCTAGACAATGAACCTTGCAAAAATAAAGCAAAAACAGCAACAAAAAAACACCCAGTGTGTTTTCCCACAATCCTGGCAGTGCAGTGAGACAAAGGGTGCTCTATGCCTGAGAAGTAGGTTTCTTGGTTGCCGTCCCAGACGTCTGCAATGTAACGCCGTGTCCCCACCATGGGGATTAACGTGCAAGGGACTGCCTGCACCTCCTGTTACAGGCAGGGGGGATCAAAAAGGATTTTCTAAAGTGTGTTCCCTGAGCAGGGCTTTCCAATACTGAGCAGTTTTGCCTTCAGCAGCTCGTTCTGGTGCTGCAGCAAAGGGTTAGGAGCAGTAATCTCATGTGCTGGAACAGGATCAGACAGATGTTCACATGCTTGGTTAGCTTTGGTAGTTACTTCTCTAGTTACAATAGATCCTCCAAACTGCAGTCCTTCTGAGATAAATTCCTGTTTTCCTGAATTAACATGTTCTAGAGGTTAAAGTTAAGCTTTCAGATGTGTACGAAGTGGGATTAAAGCCCACAAAAGCACATCTATAGTAATGCCTATATTATTTTTATGCCTAAAAATGCCTATGCATTTTTTTTTTCCTGAACCCTGTAATAGATGTTTTGTTTAATCCTCGTGATAAAGCTACTGAGATTAATTCTACCCAGTTGTATTTCCTTTTTGGAAAATTGCACGTGTGAACAAATTCAAATTGGGTGAACTAACTTCACACAGGCACAATGCATCAAAATGCTCCATCCATTGAATTATACAAGATATAACCAACAAGTTCTCCTATTTTCTTGCCATATGAGAATGGACCTGGAAGAAGTAGGAGACCTAAGAGGGAGATTGCGTATTGCTTAACTATATCCCAACACTTTTTGAGTAAATGCTGAATGCCACTGGGACCAGCAGAGCTGCACATGGGCACAAGGGCCCATTCGTCCAGACTCACTGGACGTACTGCTAGAAGTGGGACCTTAGTACTTTAATTTCTCTTCAGACCTTGTAATGAAAGACTCTGGCAGAGCAGCCAAGTGCTGCAAGGTAGTTGTGGCAGTGTCTTTAGCTGAAGGTGCTTTAATTGCTGGCCTTAGAGAAAGGGCAGAGCTGAGCCAGCTGTAAGAAACCAACCAGTTTTTTTTCCCTATTCGAGAGCATGGTTATAAGTAGTGTAAGACACTAGAAGATGCTGGGGCTAAGAATAAAGGAGGTTTGTCCTGAATAGAAGTAAAATTGACACTCACAATGTGTTCTTTCAATTTTTCTCCATTCAGAGACTGGTATGATAAGCCATGTTGTAGCCTGCTTCAGCCACATCCTTAAAAGCAACAGCACTCAATTTACAGATCTGTTCTTACAGTTAAGGTGAAGGAAATCTGATTATATTTATCTGCCTGTTAGAGAAATTGTTAGTGTTCTGCAGTCATTTGCTACACTCTTTTTTGCTGCCCCAAAACAAAGATACTTGCCAAATGATTCATAGGGATGGAAAAGGAAAAGGGGGAAGGAAAAGAGTGGAAGAGGAGGAGGTGTTTGCAGTATGCTGCTGTGGATTAGAGTTCAGATCCAAGCTTCCAAGGTTTCAGACTTAATCTTGCAACACACGCAAAGCCTTTCAATTTCATTTTGAGGTCGTTACCCAAATTCAAAACCATCAAACTGCTGCGTGGGGAATGCAGGCACACAACTCAGTCCTGGGAACTTTATAGCTATGAGTGCAACTCATACTGGGAAAGAAATGCAAAGTTTTAGGATGACGTATTTGTTTATAAAACTAAAATCTGCACATTAAACATAAACTCATAAGCTTCAGATCTGTTTTATTTAATAAATTCTAGTCTTCTGATTTATTGGAGTGATACTAGTTTTCATATATGATTTCACTGCTGATTTAAAGAAGAAAAGCAAAAATAGAAAAAAAAACTAAAGATTGAGCATGTTGTGATAGCTAACACGGAAAGAACGCAAGCCCAGAAGGCTTTCATTGCTTCAGCAGATATGTTAGGCTGAATATGAATTTTGCTTTCTTCATTATGAATAGTATTAAAAGATTGGCCTTCCTGGCAGGGGCTTTCACACAGCTTTCTTCATCATGCTGGGAGACCACCTGCTAGGCTTAACCTAAGCTGACCTGAGGGCTGTCCAATGATAGGAAAGGCTTCCTAGTGAGGCGGTAGATGTCCCATGCTGCCAGTGTTCAAGAGGCACTGGGACAACACTGTCAGAACTACTGACTGTTCACCTGAACTATTAACCCTGAAGTGGTTGGGTGGTTGGATTTGATGATCTTTGTAGGTCCATTTCAACTGAACTGTTCTACTCTATCCTGAAGTTGGGAATTCCCATGTGACTTCTCACCTACATGAAAATAAAACACCTGTTCTACACTGACTGTCACATCCCTCTGGATTGATTTAATTACCTCTGAAAGTGTCGTAGCAATTCTGAGAGCCGCTGCAAAGTTAGAGGTCATGTGGAAAAATACTGGTTCCATCAGTTGCTAGGTACAGATGAGGTTCAGCACTACCTGGAGTAGATAGATAGCTATTAAAAGGAAAACAAGGTTGCTGGCAAGGTCAGCCCAAATTGAGACCTGATATACATCACAGGCACCGATCAAGTCTCTAGTGCCTGTTTCCAGAAAACGAGCTCCTTGTGAGCTCAGGTTTCCAACAAGTGAAGCAGATGTTCCAGATCTCTTTAGTTTTGCTGTTTCTTCAAAGAAGCTGCATCATTTCTTATTTTGCTTTTCATGTGTGTTGCTGGGAATTACATTTTGAAGAAATGACAATTTCTTATAAGTAACTATAATAAATGCATTCATTTTAAGTGACATGTTAGAAGTGGCATTGATGGTACCTAGAGCTGATGATTCAGATGATTTAAGTATCACTACGTATATCCTTAAAGACACAAAATGGGAAGCTGCCTGTCCTAGAGAACAAATAAAAGCAGAATGCAAAATAACTAGCAGGCACAGAATAACTATTAGATAGAAAAATCTGTTGTCTGACAGAAGTGGAAAAGG